GCACACAAAGCTTTGAGCGCCGGGGTTGTCAATTCTGCAGCAGCGGGTTATGAAGATACGCTATCTCACACGGGCAGGATTTCATTAGTTTTGGCTCGCGCGTGGCATCAACTGCACTAGGTAAACGTGGCCGGCCGCTATGAGGGTCAGGCGTTCCTTATCATAGCCTTCGAGGAAGGTAAATTGCGTGCAAGACTGGGTAATGAACCAGACCCTCCTTCTCGTTGTTGGAAGAGCCGCTCCTGGGCCGAGTGCGAACTTCAGCGGGCCTCTGTCATCAGCAGGCGCCATTGGTGTGAAGATCAGAAACTTGGAACGGGTGCCGTTAACTGGAACCTCTAGTTGCTGTAAACGAGAGCGACAGGGTACATCGGAAGGTTGAGAACAAGCTTTGAAGGCGACGTCGCAACGTTGCGGCAAACCGGGCGACTCCCGAAATCCCCGGGCAGCATGGCCAAGTCGCAGCGGCGACCGACGCGGCAGCGCTGGACCTTTTGGGAAGAGGCTTAGGACGTGATGAAGGTGAGACAGATTACTGCGACGTCGGTCAGATGAACGGGACTCGCAGACGGAACACAGAAGCGTTGATCAGAATCACTTGACATCGGTTCAACATTTCTGTGACCATGAGGGCCAGGCGGCGTGCTTCGATCATCGTCAACGAAGAGAAAGTCCAGCAGTTGGAAAGTGCAACAAAAGCTCAAATATCACATGGCAAACTATGAAACTATGTCTGATTGTGAGGGTGCAGGGTCAATACTCTTGGGCATCTTTGAGACAGAAAATCAGCGTATGGGAGCGGCTCGCACGAGGCGTGATGTAAGTGCGGGATGCACCAAGAATCTTGTCAACCTAAAAGCAGCCAACGAGCGAAAAATGGTTCTGATTGAAAGCTCTTATTAAGAACGTGCGTGAAGCCTCCAATTGCTTACAAACCTGCTCTTGCCTTGAAACAGAAAGCGCCGCCGTGTGTCGGCTCAAACATCACCTCCGAAGGACGTGACTGTGGTTATCAAAAGTGGGCCAGTCTTCTCTAATCAAGGCCGAGCTTAGCACCGGAAGGCTGACTCGTAGACTCAGCAGCTTCAGCAACAAACATCGTGCTTTAAAGGAGCGCATGCTGACATAAGCAGGAGGCAGACCTCCATAAGATTGTCAAATAAGGTCGCAACCAGGCCGGTACACTTTCTTGCGGACAAGTCCGTTCCGACGATACAAGGTAGCAACGAAGACAACGAAGATGTCCAAACGGATCGAAGTAAACAGAAGAAAGGAGATCGAGACACGGCATCGGTAAGCATGCAATGCTTAGGGCTGACCATGACGGCCAAAGCTGCGTCCACACTGCCAAGTAGAAAATTAGTAACGGGCATGGCTGCAAACGACGGAGGAAATGATATGCAAACCAAGCCGAAAGCTGAGATCTCGAAGCGTTGTAAATGCTGCCGCCCCGACGCTATTGAAACCATGCAAGTTTAGCAGCGGAGGCAGCTCGGTTCCCTGCTACCAGATTAGCTTGGTGACCGGACGCGACGACGCTTAAACGCCCAATCACTTTGAAAAGTGACGAAATAAAGGGGGCTGGCATCATTTTGAAAAACACAACTGGCTCCATTGGCCACCCGTTCAAGGCCATGCATCGGCTATCATTACCCTTGCAAAAACAGAACACACAACCGGGAGTCTCGTCCCTTATGCACAAGGACTAGTGATTATGCCTAAACCACATGCATGCTGACAGGCTTCTAGAACAAGTCTCAAGCATTACACGCCTAAGAATCCACCGTAGACCTTGTTCGTAAAGCTGCAAACTCAGGTCCGTGGAAGGAAGGACCATCCAAGAAACAAGGAATGGACAGCTGCGGCATCTTCAGCGTCCGGTTTGACTGATGTCCACCGTGAGGGCCAACTTTTCTCGTCATCGCCGTGTAAAATTTGAAGCAGACACTATCAAAGCTCCAGAGCTTCAGTGTGCAGACACTTCTGGCGATTATTTCGTTGCAATCAACAATTTGACCGAAGAATAAAAGAAAACAGGATCCGACGCTATCGCGCCAGTGACTGGCTCCAGGTACAATGCCACCGGGTCCGCCGTTCGGATCGCCTATAGTCGTCATTGCCAGCAAAGCTCTTACCTCCTAACTGCTCGAGAAAAACTTCCCGGGTTCTTAATATGCTTTTCAAGGAACTTTCAAGTTTGTTCTGAATTCAGCTAACACAGCGATACCCGACGTTACAATCTACGTGGCAACATCGCAGTGCCTGCTCAGAGCTGGGATTGGATCAATTACATCTAGCTGTTCCATGGAACGGATTGCAGACCCTTATACACACAGCATCTGTATCACCCACATCAAGCTCCGTCCGACAAAATTTATACACGCCTGTTGTCTCGGAAAATAGGTCGACAAACACATACGCAACAAGCAAACGTCCTCAACCGTCAACATTCGTCAAAGACGGTACGGTCACTCCATTTGACATGGGAACGTTACTAAGCCAGCTGACCGTAACAATTGAAGTTGGTTGCACCTCACGGGCGAAACTCGATGAAGGTACATGCATAGAGGTATGACGATGCAACACGGACGTACTACAATCACTCGCTAAACCGTCTCAGCTCCGCATCCGAACCATTATGAAATAATCAACTTCCTGACCCGGTAAGTTAAGTTTGTCACATGGTCGGGAGGTCTTCAAAGAGCCCACAAGTAGGTCTCAGGACGAGCTTAAGTGACGCCGATTGCTTCGCAGTGTCCTCTGAAAATTTCGACTGCGTCAAGCTTCCGCTCTTTGATTCGTTGTGCTGTCCGCTTCCCTCATTGAGTAAGTTTGGAAAATATTTGCAGGACCCTGCAATGTGATGCCGTGCCTGGCAATCAGCTGATGTTAGGAGTCAAGTGGCACTTTCAATCGGGAGAGGGAAATCGATACAAGAAGTCCATGCAAGCAAACAAGCCCGAAGATCTAAAACTAACTGTGGTCTCCTCCCGTGAAGAGGAGGAAGCACGTGATTCCAGTCACACTCCGGCTTCTGCGCAGGTGTCCGACAATGACAATTACGTCAGATATTACTCTGTCATAGCCTTAATGTGTGTTTTTTGACCAGGGTGCCAATGAGATAAGTAAACTGCTCAATTGGAGAGCCACGAATCTGAAATGGGAGTATAATGCTGACATCTGCAATTGATTTCAGATCTGGTCGCGACCAGGCCGCCGATTCTCCTCGCATTCGCCGTCATGGACGGTTCTAGCAATCTCTTACGACAGCAGTCAAAACCGGCCTACCGGTACATACCTAACTAAAGCAGACGCGACTGCTGCTAAACTTGGCAACGGGAACCGTCTCAAATTCAGTCATCAAGCATCGCAAGACATACCGACCAGGGGCCTAGCCGCATGTAGCCAGGGGGAACGTGAGAGAGCAAGAAACTACATTCACCATCACTCGAGAGTGAACCAGGTAACGAGGGAAAAAAGGTGTAACGACATCAAGCCTTCGCAAAGATGTGTTGACCCCAGGAGGGCCGGGCACCAATTTTCATTGTCTGTAAAGCGCACAACAAACTGTACTTTGGACGCTGGAGAAAGTGCCTGCTTGTTTTGACAGGCTGACACTAACAGGTCGTTCAAAAGCAAGAAGGCCGAAATGAGTGCCCGGAACTCGATTAGCGGCCACGCAAACCAGACCTCTTATAGGGCCGTATTTCGTGAAATGCGGTCATAAAGAGCTCAATTAGTAACATGAATATGCTCGAAGCATTCTCTTTATGAGCTGACAAAGCAATCACCCAAGGTCGCGCAAGAGCTGAGGTGAAAAGAGGAAATAGCGGCCTTTGATTCTCTGAAGCCCTGCCAAACAACCTAGCCAATTTGAAGCTTACGAGATCCATTGAAGAATGACAGACCAGATTGACCATTGCCGCTCCGGTCTCAGCAAGCATCTTTTGTCGCCGACAGGCTCGAACCAAAATACCTAGCCAAGTCTTGAATCGAAAGTCCCAAATCGGCATCGGTCGTCTTACTCGATGTACATTGGCCAGTGCAGCGGCAGGCCAGTCACTAGTCATCACTGCCAACTTTGACAATCTTTGAGCACCAAGGCAAGCCCACGCCCACCTGGCTGTCGTCAGCAGCACGAACCGCCGCCGGCCAAAGCGCGGGTGTCGGATTCGACTAAGACCGTGAGAACGTGAGGACTTTCAACGAAGTCGTATAAAGCCAAAACACTGCGCCTTGCATCAGCGCAGAATGGACAAAATGAAAGGGGATTGGCATGCGTTCCTCGTGGATTGTCGACCAGCCACTTAAAAAGGCAGGTACGGGCGTCGGTTACCAGACAATGGGGTACAAGCCATGACCCTGAAGGCCACATAAGCATCCTCATTGCCATCGGACTCTACAAATTGGACTCAACATGCAAGGAGCCAATGAGAAAGGCGAGCTAGACGGCAGACCCCACAAGGAACTGAAAAGCAGAAAATTTCGAAATTACTTGTTGTAACTCTACACTCTTTACCGACTCGCTCGACTGGAACTCGCAAGAGCAACTGGTTTTCAACTCGAGGGCGAGAGGAACTGGTTTCCACGTGAGCAAGGGGAAGGGAATGCGGTTACGTTGCCATCCCGGCTTCTTGGAAGCTTTCAACGGAACCACTACATAAGGAAACGGCATAGAATGAACCTCAAGAAGAACAGCGAAATGCTGGTCTCCCGGACTGCCGATCCAGACAGCACAGCCATGTTCTTCAAAGGAGAAACCTGTAGAGCGGCCAAAACTGTCGAACCAGCACGCAGTGGAGCAACTCCACATCACTTACATCAGGACGAGAGACTGTCACGCGTACTGGAATCAAAAAGGTAAAGCCACGCAACAAGAAAACATGTCGTGCAAGCTTTATCACACCAAAGCAAAATTCGTTCTCATGCATCACGGCAGAAGCTCGCAGCCGATGCTTAGAAGGAATCTGACCTGACTCCACGGTCAGAGAACGATTCATGACCATCATAACATCATGTGCTTATGAGAGTGGTGGAAAACCAAGGCAGATGTCTGCGCCAAAACTTACGTCAATTGGATCTTTCCAACGAAATTCTCGCACGACATCAAGACATCGGCCGAACAGAGCCTCCACACTGCGCTCGCTACGGAGCGCCTCAACCTGCGTCTGCGGTGGCGACACGCCCACAAAATCTCCGCTTAACGGAAACCCTTTAGAAACCCACTCCTTTACACCAATTGCCGACTTCTTAGAGCCCACCTATTTCCGCTTCCGTTTCCCGCCCCCCAGCTGCCCCGACTTGAACGCCCCCTCCTGCTGCTGTAGAAACGCCATAGCGCTGCGGTACTTGTCGTGGCGCTCCTCTTCGGCCACCAACTGGTCGCGCCGCTTCTCCTCAGCCAAGAAGTAGTTGTCCTGCAAAATCGATTGTGTTGTTCAAAAGTGCAATAGCCCTTATACTATAGCAACTGAGTACCTGCGACTGGTCGGTGTCCAAAAGCAAACCGCCCTCGTGCCCTCAGTCAAAAGAAGCTGCACTCTTTAGAGGTTGGTCTTTAAACTGGCGGTCTGTGATTCAGCAAACGAAGTTTTTTTGAATTTACCGAACAGACACAGTTCCTTCGGCTTCCAAACCGAGCCGCAAAACCGAAGGCACCCACCAAACAAAGCATGAAGCAGGACTCCAAGAATTGGGACCGGAAACTGGACTGCTTTTCCAGACTACTCGATGTTAAATTTGCGCCGATCACTCTCTTGACCTGCGGATATTCAAAATGGAACGCCGGTGTAACCAATCTATCTTTCCAGATTGAATGCACAACCAGACCCACGCCTAAACCAAACCTCTTCTCACCTTGCGCAGCTCGCGCGCAGCCCCCTTGGTCTCCTTCTTGAGCTGCTTCTTGAGCTTCTTCTTCTCGGCTCGCTCCCGATCTGGATCGTAATCTCGGCCCGCCACATAGCCGTCCTCCTCGAAGCGCGGGTTGTACTGCTTGATGGGCTCCGCGCGCTTGGTCCGCATTCTCACCGGCTGCCGCGTCGAGATGACGTCAGCAGAGGTGGTCGTGATGTCTTCGCGCAAGCGGGCTGCCGCAGCCTGTGGAACAAACAAACTTGCGGATGAGTTCCAAAAACCTCAACTTTCGGAATAACGTGAAACTACACCTTTCGTGAATATTGATTAGAAACTATCGCGCCTGCCGCGGAAGGTGATGTCAGCAACTGCATCATGGACTGTACTTGACGAAGGCAGTATCCGGCGAAGTGTTTCTTCCGTTTCCAGCGTGACAACCGACGAAGGTGGTCGGGCAAGGAGTGCGCGCATGGTCGAATCAATCTACTGCAAGAACTTTTCATCGCCATCGCAAAAGCCGTAGACGACTCCGGATTTAGGACGACACACGATAACGGATACTCTCGCCCGAAAGTCGGACGAAGTTGCCGACGCCCCTCAATTGCAGCGGCAGACCTTTTCGAATGAACCAAGCAAAGGGAACAGCCACTACTTCGCTCTATTACTGGGTACTTGGAAAGTTCGGGAACTGCAAATGGAAAAAGCAGAAAAAGGATGAGCTTTTCCTCTCACCTGCAGCGTTTCCGACCGAAGCCCTTCCTTCAACAGCGCCTCTAGCGTCCCCCCGAGTGGTCGGAAGAGCTCCGAGAACGACGGCAGGCCCTTATACAGCCGCACAAACCCGCCCAGGGTTTCCAACACCGCCGCTAGCAAAGACTGCTTCCACTGATCCGTCTCATACTCTCGCAAATCTGCCCCCCCAGAAAGAAGAGACACCAGGTCAAGGGATTCGGACTCCGAGCTGGGGGACGCTGTTTCGGTGTGATCCCCGTGGGTTTTGCCAACCCCGTTTTCGGACACGCCGTTCGACGCTTTCGCCTTCGCCTTCTTGGCAGTTTCTGATGGGTGCTTTTCCGAGTCCTTTTTTGAGGACGTTTTTGAAGGGACGTGCAGCCAAAGTTGACTGCCGACCTGTTCTCTCAAGTAGGCCGGAACGGCCCCCCAAAGGGAGGGGTGCGTTTTCTGGGAGGAAGGGGGGAGGGCCGTGAGAAGCAGGGCGTGGAGGAACGTCACCGCCTCGGGGCAAAAGCGCTTGGCCTGTGAGTGGAACTGCGTAAGGATAGAAAAGCTGGAGTTAGCAGGATGTAAGCTCAGGATAGAAACCCTCGATATCGTTTTGCGGCGCAGAACAAGACATTTGTTGCTCAGAAAGCCGTTTATTCTTACAGGCTCTCTCGATCTATATCGATCTCGTCCAGAATGTCTTCTGGCTTTTACGACCATGAACAAACGTAACGATCACTTCTTGCTTTACAACAGAAGGACAGAGACAAAGGTCACGCCTCAGCTAGGCCATGCTGACGTGGGCCGATCGGTCGGACATCTGCCAAAAAAGTAAAGCACGCCGCTGCAGACTCTACGACGTCTCAATCGTGCAAGACACTCAGTTGACGTCAGCAGAAGAGGCCCAAGAGATTGATGACGTCAGCTTCCGCACCTGAAGGGCAAACGCAGACAGGAAGGCCCCAACTGCGGCGTCCCGAGGGCCCGCCACGTGGCAGCGTGCCAGGTACTCGCCAACTAGGATGGCGAGCGGCGTCGTGACGGGGTGGCGGAAGTCGGACGGCGGGAAGGTGAGCGTCCAGAGGCGGAGCAGGAGGAGCGTCCGAGCAGAGGGCCAGCAGGAGGAGCCGTCTGAAAGAAGAGAAACTTTTTAAATTAGAGTCTAGCGTTTTGAGGTTCCAAAATTAGATTGGGTAGAACCTGACAATTCAAAGAGCGTCCAGAAAGCTTCTAGAGGCGGAGCACGAACAGCGTCCGGGCAGAGGGCCAGCACGAGGAGTCCGTCTAAACGAGGAAGTGAGTTTCTATATCAGTGTCAAAGTAACAGGCTTGAACCTTGTTCAATCTGAAACTCGACGGATCAATGAGCGTCCGAACAGCGTCCAGCGGCAAAGCAGGGGGAGCGTCCAAGCAGAGGGCAGCACGAGGAGCCGTCTGAAAAGACAGGAATTCAAAAATGACGACATGAAAATCTTGGGTCTTTAAATTGAGATTATCGTGAATTTGGAAACGTTTGAATTCAGACGCTCTTATCGGAATTGAAAGGCGAGTGACCATGGACAGAAAAGGAGGGGAAGCCGTTCATAAGTGGTAAAGGAGAACGCGTGGTGCGTCTCGTTTCAAGGGAGTTAGTTCTGTTGCAATCAAAGGTGAAAGTTCAGGACGAAAGGAGAAAATAATTGTAACACAGGCAAAGCATCCAGGAAGGAGGGGACAGCAGTCAAATATGAGACTCACGTCATGACGCGGTTGGACGGTTTGCTGATCTCGGCTTTGCAACTCGTTGAAAGCGCACAGTGGCTGAGCACTCAAATCATTGTTCCAACATATGGAACTTTGGAAGAGCCCGTCTAAAGCACCCTTCCTGAAACTTTGGGAGAGCCCGTCTAGAGAACCCTCCAATAATAATCGATCAGCGAAGCATAAATAAACTCTGGTTTCGTAAGAGGCATAGCGTGCATCAGCAACGACGTCACAAACGTTTTCGCAACTTTTCACCTCGCTTCAGAGCTGCTTACTCCTGGGGAGCCACCGTCCGAATGCAACACTTCAGCTTAAAATCCAAAATGGTCCAAACGCTTGTGGACTCTCACCTGGGTCCCTAAGCTTAGCGCTCAGCTGTTGTTGCATCTTGAGAATCCGCTCCCTGGCGTTGACGGCCGCAATGAGAGGCGTGTCCTGGCTCATCTCGAGGAGAGGCTTGACAAGGACATCAATTCTGCCCAGCGGCAGCGGGGAGTCGCCTGCCAGAGCGGAGAAGTACTGGACGAGAACGCTGTAGAAAATCTGCACGAATAAGACAAAGGGGTTTCAGAAACAAGATGAATGATGAAAAGAGGGACCGGAAAAGGAAGGAAAGTGTCGTGTTGTAAGACCAGCTTGAGGCGGTGAGGGCTCTAGAAACTAGCTGAGCGAAGCACTGCAAAGAAATGCTTTTAGAGTATCGCGCAGTAAAGCCGATGCATTTCCAAATTTCCAAATGAGGGGGATGGAAAGGAGAGAAATCGGAAATGAAGAGAAAGGAAAGAACAACGTTGTTGCTGCCACTGGAATAGGGTTGCGTGGGAACGCTTCGGACAACACACGGATTGGCTATTGCCCAACGTCAGGGAACTCTCCATAAGCGTGATATGCCTTTCACCCGTAAAACTGTGTCTTGAAAAGGAAAGGAGAAGTTCTGCCTATATTTAGTATTTTCTTTAGAGCAAGTGCCGGATAGGAAGATTAGGGTGCAAGCTGTAACCAATGCTTCCCAAATACCCGCAAGCGGGGCTGCGAAGTGGGGTAGAGTCTGAGGTTGCATTATCTGGCTGCCGTTCTTTATCCGCTTCTCTAAACCCAAAAATTCCAAGGCAGCCCCTACTGAATGAGAACCCCAAGGCAACCCTAACGTCCTAAGCAACCTCAAGGGAACCGTTACATTCTGAACTGCTCAAAGCCAGGTCCTTCCAGGCAGACTCCTCACCTGCATCTTGCGCCGATTGTCCGCCGCCAGCTTCACCGAGTTGCACGCGCGTATTCTTTCGATCGCCAACGCCAGCTCAGCGTCGCTCCTCCCGTCCACGATCGCCCGGAACAGCTCCAACGTCTGGGGGGCATCGATCACATAAGGAAGCTCCCCCCTGGGGCGTTTTCCGCCGTCCTTTTTCCGGGCCCCCTCCTTGACTTTCCCGGCCGTTCTGCCCCCCTTCCCAGTTTTGGTATGTGGATCTGGCTTCTCTAAAGAAGCAGCATCCGAAGCTGCGTCCCTATTCCCGTTCTTTTTCCGTTTCAATACTTCCTGCCCTCCCTTTTCTCGCTTCTCTAGTTCCCGCATCTCCTTCTCCCGTTGCACTGCTCCCAAAAAGTCGTCCAAATCACCATCCGAGCCGGATCCGCTCTCCTCCTCTCCTCCACTGACGTCGTCCTCCGGTCCCTCGCCCCCGCTGACGTCCGCATCGTCTTGGCTGCCCTCGTCATCCCCGTCAGCGGTGACGTCATCGTCCTCGTCTTCGCTGACGTCGTCGTCCTCGTCAGCACTCCCTTCGAGCTCGTCCTCCTCCCCACTTTCTTCATCGTCCTCGTCTGCAAACAGATTCAAGATTCGGTCTTCATGGAGTGCATTTTCGAAGTTGTCTCCCAGGAAGGGTTTCTATGAAATCACTTTTGCAAAAGAGCCCGGTCCCGATCTTGATTTTCGTTACAGGTGTGAAGGCACTTCTGCAGAAGTGTTTGATTTCGTTCCTGGTCGGCTCTAGCAAAACCAAAGCTGTCGCCCTCTCGGACACCCTAGTATATCTCCACCTCAAAAAGCCTCAGACACTGTCTGGAACCAGGGTCGTCGCTAAGGAAAAGGTCGGAGGCCTGAGTGACGTGCCACAAGATCGGCCTGTCGCCAAAGCCCGTTGAAAACAAACAGGGCCGGCTCAAAAGAACCAGTCCATTTCGAGCGATGTAAACAGCTGGAACCACAAATGATTGCTGCTACTCTTGCGAGGTATCTCTCGTTGGAAGCCTTCTCACTGGTAATCCTACCCTATATGCAGGTGATCAATAGTACGTGTGAGGAATCGTTCTTAAGGTTACAAGAAGAACCTAACTTGGCCAGCTCAAGGAATCCAGAGCAAGCCAGCCCACTTCCTTTAATCCACCCTCATCTTTCCCCCTGCTTCAATATGCCCCTTGCCAGTCCTCCTTTTAAAAATCCTCCTCCGACAACTAGTAGGTCAAAGCCTCGAAAAAAATCAACTCCGCCAGTCTCAACAAGTCCACAACAATCGCAACTTCCTCTAGGTTTGACTCACCCTCATCCTCCCCCTGCTTCATGATGTCCGTCGCCCAACCCTCCTGCTGAAACTCCTCTCCTTCCAACACGAAGTTCTCCCCCAGATCGTCTCCCGACGTCTCAGCCCGCTTGCGCCGCTTCCGTGCGCGGCGGCCTCCAGTCTCGTCCTCTGATTCCTCTCCCTCCGTTTCCTCGTCCAGACCTGAAAGGAGGTGGCTTGATTTATTTGCATTATGGCTTCATCGTCGGAAATGAGACTTTCAAAGAACCGAGATTGGGTTTGTAAACGATTCCAAGGATTTTGAGGTTGATTTGCGGGAATCAATCTGGTATCTTCTGTCTTGGATTAGAAACTCTAAGCTCAAGTTAGCAAATGGATCTACGAGCAGGGTGGAAGCCAGCAATTAAAGGAAACCCGAAAGAGAAGCGCACGACAAAAGAGTTGACCTCAACCTCCATGCGTTCCCACTTCTTCCCTTTTCCATATTCTTGACAGCCAGAAGCAAGAGCTAATCTGACAACGAAGCTGGAAAGACACGTGTCATTCGGAACCGAACAAAGAGAGCAGAGACGGCAAAGCTTGCTTCCACCCTCCGTGCGTTGCCGCCTGTTCAGATCCATCTTTCTGGAAATCAAAGAGGAGCTTTCTTCACGACACATAAGCAACGAACGAAGGAATAAACAAATCTTAACATAACCAAATAGAGAGCAAAAACCGCAACGGTCTGCTTACCCTCCATCCGCTGCCGCCTCTTCTTCTCCAGCTTCTCGAGCCGTTCCCGCTCCTCCTTCGCCGCCTCCTCCGGGTCCTTCGTCCGATCGGACGCCCGCGCCCGCAGGTCGGACGCCATCTCACGCGCCAACTTTTCATAGTCGTCCTTCTCCGGTTCCGTTTCCGCTGTTCCGCTCTTCTTGCCTTCCTTCCCCGGAACGAGCTTTCCACTGTCCTTCGCCCCTGCTCTTTTCGCCTCCATACCCCCAGCACTTTCCTCAGCTTTCGGCTCTTTCTTCTTTCCTGCCAAATCCTGCTTCCCTCCTGTCAACGCCGTGTCCGCCTTTCTACCCTTCTCCTCCGAAGCAGTCGCCGCAACCCCATACTTGGCCATAAGCGCAGACATGTCGTCCTTCTTGGACGGTTTACTTGCCAACAGCCCTTTCTGAGTCAGCTCTCTGAACTGTTCGTCCAGAGTCCCCAGCAAGTCGTCAGCCTCTTCCTTCTCCTTGGCTTTCTGCGCCTTGTAGAACTTGCTCTTGGCGATAAGCTCCTCCATCACTTCTTTCCGCGTTTTTGGCTTTCCCTAAAAAGTGAACGACAGAGTTAAGGCTTAAATCGAAGGTCTTTTGCATTTATAGCTTCTTCGGCTTCCTTGTCACTCTGCACCTTTGCAGAGATGACTCTAGCAACAAGCTCTTTGATCATACCTTGGGCTTGTCCAGCTTACACACGGACGAAGTCGAGGAGACTATCATCCGAGAGTATTTTAACGAGACTCCGAACGTTCTGGATTCTCTACTAGCAAAAGAATGGTTGACGTGTCTTTCGAATGAAGATTCAACCGGTCGAGAATTGCAGCACCTGCCAGGGTTTGAAAGTGTAGCCAGTAAGGCACAGTGTCACTGCTACCCTGTATTAGACAACTCGTTCCAGAGTACTTGTAAAAGCGGACACCGACATGCCAATCGATCGCCACCAGGAACTGAAAACGCGACTGCCTTCTCACACGTTGCCAAGAGGTCGACTTCCACCAATAGATGGACACCATTGGACACTGATAGAACAATCGTCTGAATCTAAAGCGAAAAATGAAAGAGCAAGTCTCACAATGTCCAGGGACTCCCCTCCGGATGCGCGCTCAAAGCCTCCGAAATGCAGCTTGTCCACGATCTCTGCGTCAACTGCAGAAGAAGCAAGCGGGGAAAAATTGTAACCCACTGATCAACCCTTTACTTAATCTGGCTTCTTCGTTTGGTGAGAATGATCTTTGCAAGTAACTGGATCGCACACCACCCAATGACGATGTTTGGAGAACTTCCTTTCAATGACGCTCCAATCATGCCTGGAGAAGCCTCCAGCTCCCAAAACAGATCGGCAAATTCGGTACATGCACTTCATTGTTGGAATTGCAGACCAGCACGCAGACCAGCACTGTATCTGCGACAGTGGGTGGTCTATGTATACTTGAAGAGGATCAGGAGCTTTCGGAGGACTTTTCTTTGTAACCGGGGCTGAACGAAGGGACTGAAACGCAAAGCATGAACAGGTGCTGGCAACCCTCAGAAAAAGCGTCGGTTTCCGATCGTGGCGGCATAGGAGATTCCGGGCGCAGCCCTTTGAGATTGAAAGGGGCGAGCCACCGGGATTCAATCGATAATCAACTCCTGTGACTTACGCTCAGGATTGTTTTCATCCTCCTCGCCCGGCACGTCCCCCTCGTCAAAATCGTCCACCCCCGCCGCCACCCCCCTGTGCATCAGCAGGTCCTCCTCCCCGTCGCTGACATCATCGTCCTTCAGGTTGAAGCGCGAGCGCTTGTTGAGCTGCGCCAGGCGCTCCTTTTGGTACCGCATGATCGCTTTGTCGTCCTCTGCCAGGCTGGCGTCCGACTCGCCGAAGCGGCGGTCGATGAACGCGTTCGCCTTCTTGGACTGGCGGTACTCGTGGAGGAGCGTGTCTTTTCTCTGCAGGAAAGGGGTTGTAGGATTGATAAGCGAGCATCTGAGGAATGCTAAAAATCATAAAGTGAACCACTCAGGATTCATTCCAGATGGGGCTGTCCATACTCCTGGAGAGTCATGTCCTTTAACTTCAGGAAGGGGGCGTGTCCCTTCTCTGCAGGAGAGGGGTTGGAAAACTGGTTTGCAATCGTCCAAGGATTGCTGGAGGCCAATAACGTGAATCAACCACGATTCATTTTGATGGGGGCTGATCATACCTCTGGAGACGCATTGCCTTTCGCTGCAGGGGGATAAAGCAGCCAAAAGAAAGTCTTTCAAAGAAGCAACACGACGAGAGAATGAACTGGAACCAGTTGTAATCACCTCTTTTAGTGTACACAAGCATGAGAAGCTAACCCCAATATACTGTTGTGAATTTGATCTACATTACCAGCAACTTGATGTGCATTCTACAGCTAAACTTCTCTAGAGTGATGCACATGTGAAACTTTTACTCTAGTAGAGTAGAAAAGTATTTATGTCATCTGCAAAAGAAAGAGGGCATCTGCAGAGCTTCAAGATACAGCAGACAGTACAGCAGTCTTTTCAAACTCTATCTGGGTGTATAGAATACCCCCGCCAAGCTTGAAGACCGCTTGACTTTCTTGTTACTGCTGTTGTATGGACAAATTGTGCTGCTATAGTCACTAATAAAACTCACAGTACTTTTGAATCGAGAATTTCAGTACACCAGGCGATGCAAAGGTGGTACAACTGCAATAATACTGTTCTCAGGAAGTGGCTAGAAACCAATGCATGGTCAGATAGTACACACGTCGATTGAGATTGAAAGTCTTCAACTTTGACACAACACGTTCCAGCTTCCGAGTGGCGGTACAAGGAGAGACCGACCTTCATTCAGGATGATGCTATTGGTGTCATACAAGCTGACATACTCTGGGCACAATTCGAATGGTGGAATTCAGGAAGTTAAGCTACATAAGAAACAGGTGCCAGTCAACAACCATGAGGCAGTTTTCTTAAGATGCCGTAGGGTGGTGCAAGTGGAAATAATGAGAATTGACCCTGAATAAAGTTCAGAGCGAGAAAGCAGCGCCGAACACATGATCGCATTGAGCACCCCCTCAAAGCAATGACATGCAGCGAGTGCCGTTCTTTACAGCCGCAAATAATGTGTATTTCCCTCCAGACCAGCGCCGTATTCAAGCTCGGCAATGCTGCCTTCCCTAATGCATGCCTGTAAAAGCAGGCACCAAATCAAGCGCACAACCAAGAAAACTGACATACCATCTCCACAGCCCGGCTCCTAGACTGGCCAACTTTCCTCTGCTCGCCCTTGGTTTTCTTTCCCAGAACGTCGAACTTCCGCCGATTCCACATGCGCTCAAAAGGATTCGCTTTCTGCCCAGAGACCGCGGTATCTCCTTTTGATCGCTGGTTTGGTGTGCCACCTTTGAGAGCACCTTTACCATTCTGAGCATTCCTTTTGCTCGCTGCCATCGTAGATCCCCTGGGCGGCTTCTTTTTTGCCATATTTTCAATTTCTCAAAGTGTCCTGCTTTTTGGAACAATGCACGAAGCCGTCCTCTTGCTTGCCTGCAAAAGGGCTGCAATGCGGAGGGGGATTCCAGCAATTGTCTGCAAGCCGGCCTTTCCCCTCCGGCTCCGGCGTCTAGAGGCACCTCTAGGCTCTTGACTCTCAGCCTGCTCACTGCTCA